TTTCTTCCTTGTTTTCACTTAAAAAAAAAAAAAAGATGCTATTATGGATTGAATTATGTTCTCTCAAAATGTATGTTGTGGCTGGGGATTTAGCTCAATGGTGCTGCAAGGTCCTGAGTTCAATCCCTGTACCAACACACACACACACACACACACACACACACACACACACACACACTCACACACACAGGTGTGTTGAAGCCTAAGCCCCAGTAGCTGTGCGTGAGACCAGCTTTGGAAACGTGGAAACAAGTTGAGGAGTTACACTGAATTAGTGGGCCCGAACCACGACTGTGTCCTTGTAAGAGGAAAGAGATGCAGACACACGGGGGGAATGACTTGCTGTGATGAGGACAGAGACTGAAGTGGCTGACAACGCCAGAGCTATGTGAAGGACACGAGCAGTTCTCCCTCCAGATGTCAAAGAATATAGGGTGCTGCTGACGACATAATTTGGACTTCTAACTTTCAGGAATGTGAGAGGATCATTTTAATTGTTTTAGGTCACCAAGTTTACTGCAATTTGTTGCAGCAAGCTAGGAAAATAATACAGAGACCAAAACTGCCAGTTTACTTTTATTTTTTAGTGAACATATTTAATCAGTTCATCAAACTAAATACAGATCTTATTAATGTATACTTAAAAGATATTACTCAAGGTTTCTTCAAATCACTGTGTCCTATTAATGGAATATTTCTCCAATATTGCTTAAGATAAAGTGAAAATGTTAGTGAATATGAAATCCTAAAATTTCTTAAAATTTAGAATTTACTTAGCTTTTTTTTTTTTTCTCCCCGGTACCGGGGATAAAACTTGGGCCCTTGCACTTGCAAGGCAGGCAGTGAAACTGCTGAGCTAAATCCTCGGCAGAATTTACTTAGTTTTTACAAGACTCAATTTAGCACCTACTGGTTTTTAATGGTATTTTGGGATAAATTGTATTTCTCCATTTTTAGACATGAACTTAAAAGTTGTTGGGACCATTCATTTTGAACAAAATTTACTACCAGTAGAAGAGTCAGACATGAGGGAAAACAAATCTGGCATGAATATTCACACCAGATTATTGACAAATTCATCATTCTTTATATGATCTGAACTTTCTATGAAGAAGCTTGTTTTTAATCATTTGGCAAAAACAATGATATCTAAAAGTCAAAGCATTTTATTTATATATCAGTTTAATCTTCAAAATTACATTACTATTAGCAGTCAAATTTTAAAGATAAACAAACTGGAAATCAATGAGTCAATTTGCCCAAGGTCACACAGCTAGAGAATAGCACACTTGGAGGTTAATCATTTGGTCTTAATCTGTCCTATGAATTTCTGTTCTTGGACACCAGGCTTATAAATAATACCTGCTCGGTTCTAATTGCCTTTCTTACCCATCAAAGGTTTTATTACTATCACTTGTAAAAAACCCTAAACTAAGGGAAATAAATGAAACAGAACCTTGTATTAGAAATGTAAATACTGTGGCTTATTAATGACTAATCCTAAATAGAATTAAACTAATAAAAGAACATAAGATCAGGATCTTAATATTGTGGCAGAAGTAGAAATTAAAGTTAACTGACACAGATGTTCAGTGGTTTAAAAAAATAAGATAAGATATGCTATGTAAAGTCAGCAAGTAAATGATAGAAAAATAAATTTGTTATGCTGAAGAAATTTGATAATTTGGAGAAGCATGATACATGGGAACTAGTTCTAGTAATTAAAAAGTGGTCAAATTTTAAAAATTGTTAAAGTTGTGTGTATCGGTGAATGCATGTAATCCCAGGAGGCTGGGAGGCTGAGTCAGTAGGACTGCAAGTTCCAGCCCAGCCTAGGCAATTTAGTAAGACTCTGTCTCAAAAAAAAAAATTAAAAAAAAAAAAAAAAAGGTTCGGGGTGGGGTGAGGTGAGGATGAGGGGGAATTGGGACTGTCCTTTAGTGGGAAGGCACTGGGTTCAGTACTCTGCACTACAAAACAAAACAGTTAAGTGCTTATTATCAAACTAAGAAAATACTTAAATAATATTTAAAAGTATAATTTTGAGGAAAGAAGTTATGGAAAGTTACTTAAAAGCACATCAAAGGTAAAGAATTTCCTGCTCCTGAGAGACCTGTTACATTAAATTGGATTGCTGGAGGGTGCAGGAGAGTCTTCTTCCTTGAAGATCTTTAAAAATAGAGAACATAGATCATTGCAGTTCAAATGTGGGAAAAAAATTTTACCAGCTGCTCCTCAGACAAAGGACTATTATCAAGAATATATAAAGAACTCAAAACAATGAGCCCCACCCCAAATATAAAGACCTGATTCAAAAATGGACATCTGAAAAAACAGACATTTCTCAGACAAAGAAGTAAAAGCAGCAAGTAAATATATGAAAAAATGCTCCACATCACTGGCCATTTGGGAGATGCAGATGAAAACAACACTGAGATTCCACCTCACCCCACAAAGAATGGCTGCTATCAATAAATCAAACAATAACAAATGTTGGCGGGGTTGTGCGGAGAAAGGAACCCTTCTCCATTGTTGGTGGGAGTGCAGACTGGTGCAACCACTGTGGAATTCAATATGGAGATACCTCAAAGAGCTGGGACTGGAGGTTCCATTTGACCCAGCCATCCCTCTGCTGGGTATCTTTCCAAAAGAATTAAAAGAATCATATTACAGTGATATATGCACACCTATGTTTATAGTGGCACAGTTTGTAATAGCTAAAACATGGAAACATCCCATTTGTCCATCAGTTGGAGACTGGATAAAGAAGAAGTGGTTTTTCTATAAAATGGAGTACTACTCAGCCATAAAGAATGAGAAGTTAGATTCATTCATAGGAAAATGGATACATATTGTGGATATATACTCCTAAGTGAAATAAATAAGTCACACATGTGTAAATACCGAATAGTTTCCCTGGTATGAAAAACTATAATAGTACATAAGATCCTAATAATATAATTGACAATGTGAAATAAGAAAAAAAGGGCTAAAGGTGTAGGGAAAGTGGGAAGGGTAGGGGAAAGGTAGTAAGGGAAACGAAAAAATGTGAGAAAATGAAAAAATGGAAATGAAGTGTTTGGGGAGGTGAGGAGGGGGTGAAGGGAGGGCAGGGTTAAGGGGAAAAATGAGAACCAAGACCTGTCGTGTAAAGGTACAAGATCCCAATGATGAATGTAACTGAGAGAAAAAAAAATAGATCATCACAGTTCAGAAAGGTTAGGTGCATCTGGTGGAAGGCAGACACTGGCTAACTTCTTCATGATTTGATAAAGCCCAGTGACTGCATAACAGTACTAGTGGTGTAAAGGTGTAGGGAAAGTGGGAAGGGTAGGGGAAAGGAAATAAGGGAAAAGAAAAAAATCTGAGAAAATGAAAAATTGGAAATAAAGTTTTGTCAATATGGATGGGAGGAGGGGGTGAAGGGAGGGCAGGGATATGGGGAAAAAATGAGAACCAAGACCTGTCGTGTAAAGGTACAAGATCCCAATGATGAGTGTAACTGTACTGTATACCTAAACTGTACCAATAAACTCAATGAAAAAAAAAAAAAAAAGCAATGATCCAAAACAGAATGGGGCCGGGGATTTAGCTCAGTGGTTCTACCGCCTTCCTTGCAAGCACAAGGACCTGAGTTCTATCCTCGGTTCCAAAAAAAAACAAAACAAACAAACAAAAAAAATAGAGTGAGAAAATAAAGTCTGAGAAAAGTAACCCCTAAAAAAAAAAAAATGCTAGTGGTGTAACTGTGAGCTAATGGCGACACAGCTGCTTTTTCTTTGAGGGTCACAATTTGGTATCCAAAATATTGCAGAATAAATTAAATGTAATTAGACAAAATTTTCTCCAACAGAAAAGCAAGAATTAATTTTGATTCTGGATACTGAAAAATAGCTGAAACTACACCCTGGGCTTTTAAAACATTTATAGCCTTCTTTACTTACAGAAAGTGTTCCTCTATGTACAATTTAAAAAGCAGTCATGATTAATGAATGATCTTAGGCTTGAGTTGAATTAATACTAAGCAAAGTATTCTGAGCACATCTACCCTTTCTGTGCATGTATAAAATCCTTTTAAAAATTTAATTTTAGTCTGTGCTGCTTATATTTTTCAGAGCTTATGTTTTACTTTGCTTTTCTCTACTTAAGTCTCTTTCATGAATGTGGCAAAGATGACAGATTTCTTATTATTTTTTTCTTTTTAAATATGGCCAATTTCTTCCTAAGCAAACTTCTACTTTAAAGGGTAATGTTACAAATTTGTGAAGGTGTAACTGTGACCCATAATCCTTGCCCAGTTAGTCTTGCAGATGCAATAGTAGCTGCCATGAACTTGTCTAACAATTCAATGAAAGTGTCCCACACTCGTGGGAAGACATCCCTTTATATCCTGTATAATCTTCTATTTTATGAGACTCTTGTATGAAAAGATCTCACTGAAAAAAATCTGCAAAAAATGCTCAATTTTTTTTGAGACAGGGTCTCACTATGTAGTTGAGACTGACCTGGAACTCACTATATAGCCCAGGTTGGTCTCGAACTCACAGCGATCCTCCTGCCTCAGCCTCCCGAGTGCTGGGATTACAGCTGTGCGCCATGAGGCCCAGCAATGCTGAATTATTGAAACAACAACAAAACTGCAGATAATGCTAAGATAAATGGAAATAATTTATTCTCTAAATATATTTACTATTTTGCAGTTATAGGATATGTGTATAGATACATTTTCAACTCTAGGTGCTTAGTTTCTGTTACTTAAATCCTCATTTTGTATTAGGGATTTAATATTGCCTTATTCTGTATAATACTCCAGGCAAGGGCAAAAAATCTTAATGTAATTTCTGACATGCAACAGTGCTAAAAAAGAAAGATAAACATAGTTATGCCTATATAAATCTGTTAAAGAGATTTTACTCATTAACCCCCTAGATAATTCTACTTGTTACTACGTGGCTAATAACAGAGAGCTGTGGCACAAATATTTCATTACTTGCCTCCAAAAAATGGTTGACATCCTCTGTGGCCATCTGCGAAGGTGCTCATTCCTCTGTGTTTGATGAAATTACTAGAGTGTTAGGGTTGTGGACTGATGAAGAAAAGTCTTCTGTGCTCTTGGTTTCTGGTATTTATTTACCTGGACCTGTTAAAAAGGAAACAGGGATGAATTTACTAGTGTGTGTGTGTGTGTGTGTGTGTGTGTGTGTGTGTGTGTGTGTTGTTTTTTTGTTTTTTGAAACAGGGTCTCACTATGTACTTGAGACTGACCTGGAACTCACTTTGTAGCCCAGGCTGGTCTCGAACCCACAGGGATCCTCCTGCTTCAGCCTCCCAAGTGCTGGGATTACAGGCGTGCACAACCACACCCGGCAATGAATTTACTAGTTTTGAACTAATAGCCAGTTATTCTGTTATTTTAGATTCCCATGTAAGGACATTTTGAGATTTTTTTATGAAGTCTCATTTAGAATAGCATAATTTTAGATGGAATGATTTACTAAATTTATGACAACAGGTTAAAAAAAACAGCTGTATGAACCACGCAATTCAATTTCTATATTTTACACTATAGGAAACTGAAATCCAGAGAGATTAAGAAACACAACCAGTGTGATAGTGAGTTCATGTTAGACTCAACCTGAAAAAGCAGTTATTATTCCACGTTTGGGGATCTTTCCTCTACCTGTCTTTCAACAGATAGAAGGGAAGCATCTTCTAAAAGAAAGTGGAAGGACTGGGAAGAGATTAAAATCACCAAACTAATTTCTGAGCCCTAAGTCTAGAGAAGTTTAGAAAAAGAAACAAAAAACAAGGTAATACAATACTCAGAATGCTAATAAACAGAAAAACACTTTAATGGATACTTAAGGTGTTTTTTAAAAATTTATGACTGGTCATTAAATTTCTGAATTTCATACAGACTAGCAATCATTTATTTTTTTTAGTGCAATGATCTATTATCCACATAACACAAGAGTGATATTTTAGTATTTGCAGAGCAACAAAGTGATGCTTTATACAAGGAAAATGGACTTAAAATCCCTCAAACATTTATGACACAATCAAAAGATCTGTCTTCGCGTGAAACATCTGACCTCCCAATTCCTTACTGGCAGCCTATCCACGTGCTTTTCCTGCTGCTTGGTATTTCACAGCCTTAATGGCCATCACGTTCCTCCTCAAACATGCTAAACATCATCTCCTTTAGATCTTTGTCCTTGGTCTTCCCCTGACAGGAGCACTTCCCAGTTAGCCTCATCTGCTCCCCGTCACTAACGTACTCTTCTTCCTTGAGTGGTCAGAAACTCCCAGAGACTTCTCTCACCATTCTACCTAAGCAGCCTCCTCCTCCAGTATTTATCCTACTCCTTTCTGGCCCTCATCTCTATATCAATATGCGCTTCATTTCCATTCACAGCATTTGTAATTCCTGCAGATTATGTACTTCCAGTGTCTCTGGCAGCCAGATATGTTTTGTTTTTTTTCCAGATGTATGTTTCAGAATTAAGTTTTTTTTCTTTTAAAGATTATACAGTTCACGTACTGTAATTATTTGACTTCTTCCCTGCCCCTATCCAAGAAGTCTGGCACACTACATTAAAACCAAATATATTACCGTTGAGGTAGCTAACATATATTTTCATTCTAAGTAGGACTTTTAAAAATGATTGTAAGTAGCCTAACAGAAGGTTAATAATCCAAAGATTTTGGTCTAGGTTTTACCATGATATAAGCAACAAAATTTTGGTTTACAGAGTTTTTAATTTTAGAAATGCAGATAAGGGATTATGGAACATAATATATGATAGTTTGATAATTTCCTATCTACTCCATAGAATATATACTTAACAGAATTTTTTTTCTGTAGGCCAAGCTTGACATAAAAATTAATAATATTAGGTTAAGCGGATGAATGAAGACATTTGTAAGGTTCAGTTTTTACATTTTTGCGTTTTAGACAAATCCTATTGCATAGATATCTCTTAAATGGTTGCGGGGGAAAAGTTAAAAAAAACTCTGAAAAGCTTCTTTCAAAATTTTTTAATGGTTCACTGGAAGGCAGAAGGACAGGAAAAAATGATAAAGAGTATTTACATAAAACTATAGAAACAATACTGGGGCTGTGTGATAGAGTGGGAAGAGTTCTTAACTATAATTCTAGAGAACTAGATTTGTGTCTTTGAATTCCCTTCTATTCAACTACTCTATCACACATCTATCCATCCTCCATTCAACTCTCTGACATAGAAATCTCACCACTTGGGCTTAATTCATTACCTATAAAATGAGACAGTAGAATCTGATGATCTGTAGCACTTCTGACTGTGGCCAAGAACCTATCTGCTTACTCAGAAATTGGCTAATCAATCTGAAAGGTATTATACTATTGTTCACTGCATCTATAATTAAAACAAGAGACTTTTTAATAAAACCTATGCATGCTTGATTCCAATGAAAAGACATATTTGCTAAATGTTTATTTTACAGCTATACAATACTGAATTTTTGTGGGTTTTGTCTAAAATAACATTTATCGATCATTTGTTATATGCCAGCAACTACTTAGGCATTTATATATATTAATGGCAATTCTATTTGGTGCTAGTATTACTTGCCGTATCTGTGGTAGGTTAGGTCACTGTTCTTTTCCCCTACAATGCCTCATTAGAAGGTGTACACCTCTCCATGCTTTAACTCTGTCTTGGTCATCCGACTTTCTTTGGCCAACAGAATAACAGCATATATCATGGAGAAAAAAGCCCCAAAACTCTGAGATAAAGTTGTGTACTTGAGCTTGTTCCCTGGCAATTTTGCTTTTCATTTTAAGAAAAAAATATCTGAGGTATTTGTTGGTCCAAAGAAGATAAAAGACATTAGTGTAAACCTAGACCTATCCTCCTCAAACCAAGTTTAGCTGTGTCAACCCCAGATTAGACCTTTCCCAGCTTGTAGGCAAATACCTGAGCAAGAACAAAGATTTATTGTTATATACCAATGAGATTTTTGGTTGCTTTGCAGTAACTCCCTTCATTTTTACAGACAATGGAAATGAAGGGCAGGAAGGGTGAAGGGTGTGAAGGGAGGGCAGGGGAATGGGGAAAAAATAAGAACCAAGACCTGTCATGTAAAGGTACAAGATCCCAATGATGAATGTAACTATGTTGTTTGCTTTAAATGTACCAATAAACTTAATGGGCAGGGATAAAGTCTATAACCTATGGAAAATATGTAAGGAGGAGTTTTTAAACCCATTTTTATAATATTTGCCATTAAAATTGTTTTTTTTTTTTTTAAAGAAATGACTGGCAGAGATTAGGTAGCCAACACAGAGCTGGAAATGAAGCCCATGTAAGTCTGGCTCAATCTATATTTTCAGCCAGGCCTGGTGGCACATGCCTGTAATCCCAGCACTTGGAAGGCTGAGGCAGGAGGATTGCTGTGAGTTCGAGACCAGCCTGGGCTACATAGTGAATTCCAGGTCAGTCTCAAACCACCCCCCCCAATCCATATGTTCAACTCTTGTATTGCTGAACACTGATACTATACTGTACTTGGTATATTATATTAAACAGTTATTAATATGCCATTGGCCGATATTAAATTTTATAAGTAAATTCATGTAGTTTTCAATGGACAAAGCTGCCTTGTAGTTTGGAATAAAATTTTTATCTTGAGAAAGTAATAAGTAAAAAAAAAAAGTACACTGTTTTCTGGAGTCAGATTTATAGGTCTAGATAATAACACATATCTTGGTGATGCTGCCCAGCTCCATTGGGTAACAAACAGTGGCCTTCAATGCTGACTGCTCTATTACTATTCTACTCCTAGGCCTAGTTCATCAATTCAGGCATGAATCTGTGATCCAAGATGACAGGTTTCTCTTCTAGTGTTTTCAAATTTAGACCAAATGGGAGCCTCCATCACTGGGTCCATTCTGGAGAAAGCTGGTATCCTCAGATTTATCAAAGTTCCTTTCCTCCCCACCCTTCAGTTCCATAAGATACTTCAGTAGTTTCCCAGAAAGTGCTCTTCTTTTGTATAAGCTTAATAAAATTTGTTTTCTTGGTACAAGCCAAAATAGGCTTAAAAACCCAGTGGTTCTGCTATACTTCAGAAAAGATTTCATAGAGATCAAGTAAGAGTTGCATTTATTTTATATCTCAGAAAAGTAATTTTTATATCTTAGAGTTATTTATGGTACATCTCTTGATACTAGTTAATTTTTTTGTTTTTTTAAAAAATGATAGTCCATAGACTTTCAAGGTTCTGAGAGCAGAACTATATTTTAGTAAAGTTAAATAAAGTAGCTTTCATTTGTAATCCTATGTGTTTTATTTCATGTATTTTAAACATTTTATTTATAATGACCTTTCTATATTCCTTTTAATATACAAGTAAAGTGAATATATGGGATTTTTTGTATCATTGATTTGCTCAAACTATGACAGTTAAACAAGTTCCAACTGTTTTGGAAGCTGGGATACAGCAAGAACAATAGAGAGAAACACTGTGCTTCGTAGAGTAGTGATGAGAGAATAAGTATAACCTAATAAGAAAATTTCAAAGCATTACTAGTAGTAAACCAGGTACTTCTATTACAGTGAAATAGTTACATAAAATATGAGAATAATAAAGGCAAAAAGCCTGCAGGAAATTTATGTGCAATCTTAGCCTATATGTAGACTTCAAAAGTGATAAGTCAACAAATGCATGGCTTTAACCTGTGTGTAGACTTCAAACACAGTCTATGAATGTATATATGGAGCCTGTCCAGATGTAAAATGGGAAGACAATGACAAAGTGCAACCAACTGGCAAAATTAAACCCATCTGTAAGAATCATAGCTACTTCTACTTGCGTACACCACAAACACTAAAAGTGTTAAGAAGGTATTGTTAAATAGAAGAAATAATTTTGTGGTTGCTCACAAAGCACATATTTTTAATGAAAAAATAAAGTAAGCCACCACAACAACAAGGTAAAAGTCAGCTGCAAACTTACCAATAATGTTACACCTATTTATAATTATATAACGTCATACTATTCCTCCACAATGCGCAGGTGAGGAAACAGAGGAGCATCAGAAGTCTGAGAAGTGTGACCATTTTGACAGTGTCAGAACCAGGCTACCCTGTGTTTTCC